CTTAATTTTTTAAAAAAATCATAAACTGGTTTAAATGAAAAGCACAATTCAATCCAGGACTACATAACATTTCTTAAAACCCACTATGTTCAATTACTAAACATGCTATAGTGCAGACTGCAGCCCCTAACATTCTTGGGGTGAAGAATTGGATAAATTGCCTATCATGAACAAGGCTGGACTCCCACTGAGGGAACTTGTGAGTATTCTAGATCTATCTCAGGTCCAAAACACACTGCAGAAATGATCCAGTTTGAGACCACTTTAACTGCCCTGGCTCAATGCTAGGGATTTCTGGGAATTGTAGCTAACTGAGACAATCAGCCTTCTCTGTCAGAGAGCTCTGGGGCCACAATAAACTATAATTTCCAGGATTCCTTAGCACTGAGCTAGGGCAGTTAAAGCAGTCTCAAGCTGGATTATTTCTGCAGTCTGTTTTGGATCTCAGTCACCGAAATCTCCAGCAGACTCCATGGCTTGCAGTGCACACGGCTAACCTCAAATGGTCTGCCAGCTTCTTTGGACAGGGCTAACCTAGCCACAGTAGTCCATACGCTGGTAATTTTCTGATTACTCTATTGCAGTGTGCACTACCTGAGGCAGCCCTTGAAGATGACTCAGAAGCTGCAGTGAGATTGCTGTTTTAACGAAAAAAACATAATACCCATATTAAAGGAACTGCATTCCCTGTCAATAAACTTCTGGTCTGAATTAAAGATGATGGCGATGACAAGCCACTTAATCACTTGGGATCTATAAACTTGAAGGAATGCCCTATTTCTATAAAGCTGCCCTGATGTTCCCATTGGTAGGAACAAAATCTGAAGGACGGAATAAGGGAAGGCCTTCTTTGGTGTGGCACAGTCTGAAGTTTCGATTGACATTAACTTTGGTTTCATTCTACCACCAAGCTAAAACATGTTTTTTAAGGTTTTGGGACCCCAATTTTTTACTTCCAAAATGGACATTTTAAAGTTGTTTTACTGTGTAAATGGGTTTACTGTTTCTGGTTTGTTTATATTTTTATGCTTTCAAACTCTTTGTGATCCCAAGATATAGGACAGAATATAAATATACTAATAAATAAATACATTTAATTGAACCTAAATTCAACTAGCTTAACAGAACAATCTCATGCATGTGTATTTATAGGCTAGTCAAACTGAATTCAAAAAGCTTCATCTCAGTGTGTTTCAAACTGCAGCATTACAGTTTTAGCCCCAACCCACTGAGTCAAGCACTTTTTTTAAAAAAGTGAAATGAAAAAAATTAGCTGATTTAATGGTAAACGTATAAATTAATTAGACATTAATCATGGAATTATTTATGTGGGTTTTCTACTGGATGTAAGGACTATCAAGTCACCACCCTATATCTTACCAGATAGAGGCTGCATCAGCATTGCAGAAATAATCCAGTGTGATGCCACCTGAACTGCCATGGCTCAAGGCTATGGAATTCTGGGAATTGTGGGTTGTTGTTTTTTTAGACATTTAGCCTTCTCTGTCAGAGCTCTGCTACCACAACAAGCTACAATTCCCAGGATCCCATAGTATTGATCCATGGCAGTTAAAGCTGGGTTAATGTGGATTATTTCAGCTAGACTCACACACAGAAATATCTGCTTTATGCCCATCAACTACCTGAGTTTTATAATGAATTCATTCTTCAAGTTATGATATTTATGATTCCAGAACAAGCACCATGGAACTTTACCTTTCAACAAATAATCAAATAGTAATTTCCCTGTTCACTACCAGCCATTTCTAAATTGAAAGTTTTGAACATTTGAGTAAATATCCACAGGACCAGGCTGTAATTCCACAGTACAGTGGCTGGGACTTCCAAAGAACCAAAGTATTATCCCTCAAAGCAAGTGATCTTGCTTGTCCTTTGAATGCCGATATTAGACTATGGTCCAAAACACACTGCAGCAATAATCCAATTTAAGACTGCTCTAACTGCCCTGGCTCAGTGCTAGGGAATCCTGGGAACTGTAGTTTATTGTAGCAGCAGGGCTCTCTGACAGATAAGGCTAAATGAATTCCCTAGCATTGAGCCTGGGCAGCTAAAATTGTCTCAAACTGGATTATTTCTGCAGTCTGTTTGGACCTATATCAACAATTCTGTCCTTGTTGTTTATGCAACAGCATCACAAAATACATGTAGGCCAAAGATTCTGGATTATACTCTTGCCTGACCTTTATTTAATTACAAATATTATAAAGCTATGAAAGTTAATCGCAAACCAGTCTGCTGTAATTTGTATAGTAACCAATACGATTGTAGCTGCCTTTCTCAGGAAATATGGCCTTTTAACTGGAAAAACTGATTTAAATGCTTAGCAACTTTAATCAAACGAATAAAACTGAAATTATAGAGTCACAGGATTACAGTTTGACACTTTTTAAAAGCAATTCTTTTTTTAAAGTTGCCAAACTAGGAAATGCTACATTTTGACTTCCTCATATCACATATCCCCCATGCAATCCTTCCAAAATAGCTTGAGTTTATTTACAAACATTAAATTCTGGAATTGGGTGCAGTGGCTGTCAGTTCCATATTTCTTGTATGTGTCTTTAAGTTTATTTTTTTAATTCTGGTGACACTAAAGAGGGGTGTGCCTTTGCTTTCCTCTGCGGATGAGTGACTGAGGGCCTTTGCAGACTGCCAGAAATAGTGCACATTAAATTGAGGCACTGCCCTGGCTCAGTGCTAGGGAATCATGGGAACTGTAATTTATTGTGGCGCCAGAGCTCTCTGGCAGAGAAGGCTCAATGTCTCAGAAAAAAATACAATTCCCATGACTCCCTAGCACTAAGCCAGGGCAGTGCCTCAATTTAATGTGCACTATTTCTGGCAGTCTGCAAAGGCCCTGACTTGCCCAAGGTCACCCAGGGCCTTTGCAGACTGCCAGAAATAGTGCAAATTGAGTCCACTTTTAGGGTTAGGGTTAGTGCTAGGGAGTCATGGGAACTGGTTTTTTTTTTTTTTTCCTGAGACATTGAGCCTTCTCTGTCAGAGAGCTCTGGTGCCACAATAAAATACAGTTCCCATGATTCTCTAACCCTAATCCTTAAAGTGGACTCAATTTGCACTATTTCTAGCAGTCTGCAAAGGCCCCCAGTGGGTCTCCATGAGAGAGCAAGGATCCGAACCCTGGTCTCCAGAGTCGCAATCAAACATAAATGCAAAAAGGTAGGCCTGAAGACAGCGTAACTTGCAAGAGGTTCTCTCTCCCTGGTATGCTGCCAGAAAGCCAGCCTTCACTGTCAAGAAGATCCACCTCTTTCCTCCAGAGCTGATGTCAGTGATAGAGAAGCCTATTTTAGGCCTCTTTCAAGTCCCTTAGCTATTCAAGCTGCCACTGGATGATAGGATAGGCAAAAGAGAAGAAAATTTCCTTCCTTCAAGCATGCAGAAGGCTCTTATAGCACCTTTGAGACTCAACAAAAGAAAGAGGTTGGTAGCATGATATTTAGCCTAGGTTGCATGCATCTGAAGAAGTAGGCTCAAGTCTACGAAAGCTCATGCTCCCAGCTTCTTTCTTTCACCAAATCTCAAAGGTGCCACAAGAGCCCCTTGCATACTGATTTTCTGAACTAACATGGCTAGAATTCCTTCAGCATGTTTGACAGAGGCCATCAACTTTATTTTGTTGCTTCATGGGGGGGGGGGGGGGGGGGGGGGGGGGGGAAGGACACCAAGGCAGGAACCCTTTCTAACCGTATGGAAGCACCGTCCTTTGTTGTTATTGTGTGCCTCCAAGCCTTTTCTGATTTAGGGTGACCTTCTTGGCAAGATTTGTTCAGAAGAGGTTTGCCCTTGCTTTCCTCAAAGGCTGAGAGAGTGCAACTCACCCAAGGTCATCCAGTGGATTGCCAAGGCCTAGCCAGGATTTGAATCCCAATCTCCAGAATTGTGGTCCAGCAGTTCACAACAGCTCTCGAGACCAGGGTTCGAATCCTGGCTGGGTTGTGGCGCTTTTCTAACAGCATAGAAGCACTGCCAGGTCTGCTTCCCAAAACAGGAAACCATGGCAGTGCCCTCAAGAGCTGCTTCCAGCTCTTGAACCGCCCTCTCACC